ATTCACTCTCGCGGGCCTCCTTTTATACCCTACGAGACTGAATTTTGCTTCCGAGTTTTTGGCCGCCACCACCCAGCCAGAACTCTGATGTCGATTTGACATCTAACCGATGTCGAAGAAATCTAGATTACGTCTAATCTAAATATACGTCTAGAAATATGGCAATTTAGACATCTTCTATTCTATTTTTAAAATTTATTGATTCGACCATTCGGAAGAGAATTTTTCATAAAATGTCGAGATTTTACTTTGTGTGTGAACTACGTACTAATAAAAGTCTTTCTAGACATCGATTCAACGTTGAATCGACGTCTAATAATGCCTTTTGATTTTTGCATTAAAATATAAATATAAACGTACGTATTTGCTTTTTGCTAAGTTTAATAAAAATTTGAAAATAATGTAAAAACTAGGTAAAACATTTTTTTATACATGAACACGAACAAATATATAAAATTATATATCAAATATGTCCATATGTTGTACCCCAAATTGTATAAGGAGGTAATGAGGGTACATAAACAAGCAGTTAAGCAATGTAATTATAATAACACTAGATGTATACATGCTTTTATATTAAAAATTTTTTAAAGGGAAAATTGTTCATTTATAATTATATGTAACTTTGTACAATTATACATAATTATGTATAATTACAAATAAGTAATTTCTTTTATACATTAAAAAAGTTTTCATATAAAAGCATGTATAAATCTGTAAAATTATATAGAATTTTGTACAATTATGTGTATATGTATATAGAAATATTAAAGTTAAAAATATGTATGGACATATTTGATATATAATTTTATATAATTTTATATATTTGTTCGTGTATGTACACGGCTGCTCGCTTGTGTGCGTTATCCTCTCTCCGATCACAGCGTGCTGCAAAAGTAACGGAGTTTGCATCCAGTGATGCCAGCCGAGAACGTTTGCCTCGACGCTACAGCGGTGATGGGAGTTGGAGTGGGGATTATGCTTTCGGCCACGCGCGCGCGCACGCTCGCACAACGCGCCGTAAATACGTGTGCACACGTATATACACGTGGCCGAAC